AATGCATAATACCTCTTACTGCAGGGAAGAACTACAGCATTTTATACTAGGTGTGTCACGTCCCACTGACACTTCCTAAACACTGAAGATCTTTTGCTAATAAATGTCACATATTCTAGCTATAGTCACATCTATATAGCTCACTTCAGTTTAATTAAACTAATTTCACAAGATTAACTGATCATCTTGGTAGAAGCAGTCAATGATGTAGTCACAGATGGTAATGAATACAGACAAACAGGTATTGCCTGCAAATTGCTAGCCTCTGGGTCCAGCTGCCAATGTGGTTGCATTCCATTGCTAGAAAAGGATACAAGGAAATTGATTTTTGTGGGTTTCCAGCCATTAACAGTCAAGTGGGGTAGGCATGCAGCTGATCATCACTATCTTTTGGATGCATCACTTCAGGAAGGGTCCGGACTAGTACAGCCATCCAGCTCATATGACATGCTCATATGACATCAGCCATGTTAAACTCTGCAGAGAAGTCTAAAAGAGTGAGACTAGACTTTGGTGCTCTATGAGTATAAAAGAGGAAATCATTCATTAGAACAATTAAAATGGTTTCAGTTCCTCACATGATCCAGATTATTCCAACTCTAGAATATTGGCTCCCCTTTTATGAACTAATAAGGGCAATGGTAACAACCTAACACTGAGATGTTGAACTGCTTCTCAGAAACACCAGAGAAGTTTTAAGTTCCAGAAAATCCACAAGAGCAATGCAAAATCCACAAGGTCTTCTATAAAATGCAATTCAACCCATCTCTACTTTCTCATCCTGGCTACAGATATGCACTGGATTTGAATTCTAACACATTCAGATAAATGTCCATCTTCATTTACAGCTGATACATTGAATAGCTTCAGTTGTAAAACACAAGGTAAAGGAGAAAATTCCTAAAAACCTCACAAATGTGATTTGAATCCATGCATATTCCACGTGCTACACAAGGTGTTGATGATGCCAGTTACAACTGAGACAATACCTTCATATGATACAAGGGAGACATTATTTGAATGTAGTATTAAACAAAAAATAAAAAAACCCCTGTGATTATAATAGCCTATCTTCCTGCTTTTTCAAAAACAGATATCTTACACTTCTTGTCTTAAACCCAAAGACATACTTTCAACTCCCTTACAGATTCAGTGATATTCAATGATATCCTGCATAGGTATGATTTGCCCCAGCAATTTCTAACCCCTGTTAAACATTAACATGTTCTATAAATCAAGTCATCAGTTCTCTATGTGACATATCTGGATATATCTGTATCTACAGAACTAACATCAGTTCAGGTGTGAGTAACTTTTCTCTGCCAAAGTCCAGATTTCAGAATTATATTAAATTGGATAATTGATTATTTCTGCAGATACCTCTGTATCCATCACTTGCATACATATACATATTTTTTTTTCTCACACAAGTTAGATTTATTTGCATAAGCTCATATCTATTTGATACTTGATTTTAAACCAAGTCCCTATTCAGAACTTATTACTGTCTGACAGAAAAATTTGATCTAACAGGGAAAATTACAATCTGTTAATAATGAAAAGACAGCTCTGAAAGGTTTTCCAGTTTGTGGCTGTAAGCAATAAAAGCTCTAGTTTTCTAGTTCAAAACTTTTAGCTTAATGGTGCAGAAGTTCATAAATTACACCAGTGGTGGGTTGTTTTCATGCCCAACCTAAGACGTCAAAAAAGCATATTTTTCAAAGATTGTGCTTCCTAAAAATAAAACCTGTCTGACTTAATTCAGCTCTGTACCACAACTCTAGTATCCAAAAATGATTACACTCTTTTGTTTCATGATCTTTTCTATATGAGATTTTGATACCTTTTGTATAAATTATCACCATCTACCCAAAATGATACAATTTAAATCAATGACCACTTTTGTGTTACATTGTTAATCAACACACATTAGTTAATGGTAAGTAGGAGCAAAGATTTTGAATTTGGCTTTAGTGATGAATTGACTCTGGGAGACAAAATACTGAAATTGGCATCCCGTTAAAAACATTAATCTTCAGAGATAAATTCAGAGTATCTGATATGGACTTCTTCAGCTCTATAAAGTCTTTGCTAAACCACAACATGATTCCCTACAACAAACCCTCCTGCAAGATCACGTGTAGACAATTTGAGACATTTTGACAACAACTCAATAACCATTTGAGAAAATCCTATTGTTAGTAACGATTGCCTGATAAGTCAAGCAATTAGGAATTAATCTATTGGACAGAAATGAGACATGTACCGGGGGGAATTCATATATCTATGAAATGCCAAACTTCAGAGAGAAACTATTAACATGAGTTAGTCGTTTAAACTATTGTCTAGACCTGTCACAATAAAATTTTCATTATTGTCTTCTGAGTTTTCTTTTTTTTTTTTTGTGACTTCCTGAAATTGCAGCTTGAATTAAAAACAAAGACAAAAAGAAAGAAGCTCATAAAACATGTTTTGAAATTTCCAGAGAAGCACACTTATTTGCTAGCTCTAAGCAACATCTTTTACAAGATATTGAGACAAATCAATGTTGGAGCACGTGATACTTTGCCACCTACTGAAATATGTAATTTCTGAATTCCTATACATAATGCCATGACATCTGTTTACACAAGTGCAAGATCATTATTTATCTACAAACACAACAAAGTTTTCATTGTGTGCCATGCTGATAATAGCCAACTGACATAGTAAATATTCTCTGCCCAATGGGATCTAACATAACTCTCAGCACAGTTTATAATTTTGGGCCCCGTGCCACACTAATGCAATTTCACTAAGACTTGCCAAGTCAGCCAGGACCCAACATGGACACGGAGGTGAGTTCTTTATTTAGGATTTTACCTGGCCAGGGTTTCCATGTCCTAATTCTTGGCAGATCTGGCAGTGTGATGACGTGTGTGAAAGCAAAATAATGATCCTGGCACTATCAGTTAAGATAGGAATATGAGGCCCAAAGGACATAATTTTCTCCTCTCTCAATGTAAGTATTAGTGTCAGCTCCCTTCTGCCCAAATTTTTAATTCATTCTATCTGCACAATGACCATATTCCAGAAAGGAGCACCACCTGGATTAAATCTGGATCCAAACAGAAAACCTAGTTACATACATATAAATCAGTACAGACTAAGAAAAGGAAACCTGTATCCACTTAAAAACATATTCTGCAGGCACAATATAAGGTAGCCAGGGAGAAAATATGTCCAGAATCTAAATTACAATGGGTTGCAGTAAGGAACTTTTACCTGCTTAAAATTCAGCCTTGAACTGAGTTTCCCCAGAGTGTTGTACCAAAAGCCTTTCTTGTTGAGGATGGTTCAGTTTATTTTCAAACACAGCTGATGGAGATGGCAGTTATCCTGTCAATTTAGTACGCCAGTGGCCAGACCTGTTATCCAGTCTGTGAAAGTCTAGACAATATCATGTGGTTCATGCTCCGCAGTTCTGGCAAAACAAATTTAGTTCTCATCCTGGTGATCCATATGACCTTTGCAAGACAATTACAGCTGGTGAAAACGACTTTTGTTTCACCTCTAACATCAGCAGCTTTTTTTTAAAAAAAAAAAAAAAAAAAAAAAAAAAAAAAAAAAAAGTTGTATGCCATAAAGACTTCGTAATTAATATAGTAATAGTTATGCAGTTTATTCTGTGATACAGCGAGGTAATGCAGGCTGAACCTAACACACTTCATAGTCATTCAGATTTCTAAGAACACGGGGGTTGTTAGTTTAAAACAGCAAAGCAATCTGCAGTAAATTCCTGTACTGTTTGTGCCATCTGCTGGCCAGGAAGGATGTGAAGGGCGCTACACTGCGGCCTGCGGGAATCGCTCTTGGGAAGAGAAAGCAGAGCCAAAAAGCAGGAGGACACGGGAAAGAAAGGTCACACTGCCTGTTCCTGGAATCGAGGTGGAGCTGGGAGCTCCAGCTGGAAAGCGCTCCCTAACAGAGCTCCAAGAAAACATGCCCTGGAAATAAATGCGGGGCTCCCAGATTTGGCCCACTCCCTAGCACTGGTGAAAACCCAGGGGAGTTCCACGTTCCTTGCACCCGTCAGGAGGAGCAGGCAGCAGACCGGGTGGCTGCTGAAGATGCAGGACTTCACCAAAGGCCCAGCCGTGTCTTTTATCCCCAGGGTCGGTGCTGGGATTTTGCAAGCCTGAAAGTTTTATGCCTGCAAGCTGATGCCTGCAAGCAGTTGGTGCCTGCCAAGTTGAGGACTGTAACAATTAGTGATAACTGTTCCATTATACCTTAAATATTAAGAAATTCTTTTACCAAACAAAGTTTAAACTTTGTATTTAACAAGACCTGAGTGATTAAAATGTACAAAGAAAATTTCCTAACCTTGAGAATAGATACATCCTGGCAGATTTGCCAAAAGGTAGATAAGAAAGATTTCTGGGCAAAGGTGGATAAGAAAGAACAGCTTGGCTGGACAAGAGTTGGGAAACATCCAAGAAGAAGAAATTGTTCTCAGAAGACTTGTGACCATCAACGGGGATGAAGGAGCAGGGGAGTAACTCCCCAAACAACCACCAATAACTGCCCAAAACCCCCACACAAGTGTAGTGCAGTTTTGCAACGCCAGCATTTTGTAAATGTAACAGATAGGCATAAAGGTGGAGGCTTCTTGGAAAATGTACGAATATTCATGTCTTTAAGGTATATAAAGGATGAACTTTCTCGTGTATGCACGTTAGGTGGAATGATCCCCGCACATCCAGCACTGCAATAAAGAATGCCTGCTTTCTAAAACTCCGACAGGAGCCTTAAAAGTTCCTCTACTGGCTTTTACGGGAAGAGTTTCACCAGCTTCAGTGCTGGAAGTCGGCAGGAAAGCCCGCACGGCGGCGCGGTGCCCGCCCCGGGGTGCCCGAGGAGCGCACAGCCGGCGGGAAGCCCC